TGATATAATTAAATATATATATTGTAATTTAATAATATATATTTAGAAAGAAAGAAGAATATATCATATTTTATTTTGCACTAAATTATTTTATTCTTCACTAGTCAAAATTGCGATTTTTTTTTCGATTGTGGATTAGGTCATATGATCTTGCACTGCCATTGCGTTCTTTTCCAATTGTCACCACACGTGCGGCTGTCGTGGCTTGTATCTTATTGCAGTACACACAGATTGAGAGATAGAGGGCAAGAACTGAAGTCATATTAAGCAACAGCTGCTGATTTCGGGTCAGGAATGTCAACCGCTGAGCCTGCAACCAAATGGTCAGGGCAGGAGCGCGACTGACACCTAATTTAATCCACCCACCCAGCAGCACAATCAATCTGATCATCTAGATAGCTCATTGTTATGGACACCTCATTGTTTCAGACAGTGTTTAATTCTAAACTCGGATGCTAAAGAGCCAGCCTGCACCGGCTTCCTCTGGTCTGTACAGGTTTCCTCTGATCTTTTCCTCCGCTTGTTTCCCACATCCTGTTTGTTCCCATCCACACAGGAAATGGACCATTAATGCACAGGAAGACAGAGTCCCTGATGTTGTCTATAGGTAGACACAGTAAATCACTGCAGTTGGGTATTTGCATTTTCGTGACTACTAGTCACTGAAGAGACACTGTATATGTGAGCAAACATTGCACTTGCTGCGTTCCCAAACACATCAATCTTAATGTAATTTATTCACCTGAAAATCTATATTACTGCATATGGAAATTACAATAATTCTCAAATCATTGAGGAGTAAAGAAATTCATATTCTGTACTTGGAGGATTAAGGCTGAAATATGAAATGACTTCTGAAGCACATTCACATAGTTTTTATGAACATTTTGACTGGAACACCATTAATGGTTCCTCCTGCTTCGCTTATGACTGTGAAAAGTGGAACAATTTCTCTGTAATCTCTATTTTTCAACATCAAAGATAAAAGAATTAATTTCTCCATGCATCACTGGCTTTTCTGTAATAACACACAGCTTTACTTCTATTATATTGATCAGTGGGATTGCCTTAAGTGGCTATGCTGTTTCAAACCATCCTTTCCCTTCACAACACCACCAAAGCCAGCCTATTTAATTATCCTGCATCGTGAATCTAATAAAAGTTCTCATTGGAGCACTACGCCCGCACACACACATAAACGGTCAAGCGAAACACTGCTGTGTTCTCTGCTCGTCTCCTAAATTAAAAGTGACATCAGGAAAACTGCTATAACGTCTAAAATTGAAAAAAAAAAAACTCACCCAATAGCCCAACCTTCCCTTCTCTCCCTTCCCCGCTCCGCTCTCTAGAGGGATGGTGACTGGCTAAAATATTTTATGCCTTTTTTAACCTTCAAATCCATCAGCTGGCCAGGAAAAAGGTCACTGTCTCTCCACGGAGTATCGATCTCATTTCCAGAAGAGCCAATGGAGAGGGAGAGTCTTACACAATATTGGTTGTTGGACAAGGAAGGAAGTACATCCTCTAATGCCGGGCATCAAATCTCTTTTGGGTGAAAGAAAGGACAGATGCCATCTGTGTTGTGTGTCTTTAGTATTTGCAGACTCTGTTGGTGGTTTGTTTATACAGTCACAGTGTATTTGTAGAAAGTATGTGTAGATCTTTCATTCACTATCTTATGATTTTTACAGGGTCATGGAAAATATGGAAATATCAGGGAACTGTGTTTCCAGGCCCTGAGAAGGCTTGGAAATGTTTAGAATGAATACATTTTTTTCTGTTAATTTATAAACTATTTTATATATATATTAAAACATTTCTTTAATTAAATATTTGTATTAATTTATAAAAATATTTAATTAGCTAGAAATTGTTTTTTTGAGAGTGTAATCTCAATAAAATGATTTCTAAAAATTCAACAAGTGAACAATTTCTTAAATCTTTCTTCTAGATTTGTGCATGTTTAAAATTTTTGTTTGTCTTGCAATTGCTCTTTATAATTTCAAATTAAATTTTATAAATGAATGCACTGACAAATTGCACTTAAATTCCATGCTAAAAATATATTCATTACAAAAAAATCGGACTTTTTCTGTTGTTTGTGATTAATAATTTCAAAACATATATAACCACTAAATGTGATAACATTTGTCAAAAGAGGTATAAAAATATTGTTTTCACTCTATATGCAACATAAAGAGCTGAAATAGCATGTCCGATGGATGATACAAGGGGATATTAATAAGTCAGAATGATGAGCTTTATTATCAGGGATTATATTATCAGGGTATTTCAGAAGAATTGACATGTCTATATCAAGTCTCACAGCGAGTGTCACACCTACCTTAAAAGCAGGTCGTCCCATTGATATTGGACTGTGGTGATCTCATATTGTCTATGTGTGAGAGGATGTACTCTATCCGAAGCTCGCACATCTCTAATCCTGAGCCGGACCCCTGGAGATATGAGTTGTAACATTCTTTGATGGATGCAGGACTTGAGCTGTCTGAAATGGCATAAAAATCAATAATAAATTAGGTCTTTATTAAATATGCATCTGTAAGGGCGCATTCTTCATTTGGTGTTGCTCTGTGTTTGGGTTCTGGAGAGAACTGTGATGTCAAGGCTAGCGGTTCAAGGCTGGATGATAATGTTGAGATGGATATTTTCTGATGCAAGTTTATTTTATGTAGATATCCACATTTAAAGACCTTTAATCATGCAACGTACTGAGCTTATAGGGATAGTTTTCCAAATTCTGTTCTCATTTACTCACCTTCATCTCATCCAAACCTGTTTGACTTGCTTTCTTCTGTGGAACACAAAAGGTTTTTTGAAGAATGATTTTTGTCCATACAATGAAAGTCAGTGAGGTCCTAAACAACATTGGACCCCATTGACTTCAGTTGTATAGACAAAAAACACTGAAACATTCTTTATTTGTGTTCATACATGTTTGGAATGACATGAGGGCGTGTAAATGATGATAGTATTTTCATTTTTTTGTAAACTATCCACTTAAATTAAGATGTTTATGTCACATTCTAGATGTTTATACAAATTAATGTCAATCTGAGAATTAAAATATGAATTTGTTCTATTGGAGAGAGCAGCACACGGGGGAGATTGAGGACCCTATTTTAGTTTACAATGAGCTCGGCCATTACAGGACAGACTATTTTTGGGCGCGTCACCCCTTGTGATTTCACTTAGGGTTATTTAATGCAGTCTAGATAGCTGAGGATTAAAATTGTCTGTTTATGGAGGAAACTGTTTGGGATTTGCAATCATTAAATGCATGTTTATTGCTTTGAAATGTCTCCAAATATATCCTTTTTACCACCATCATGTCTAAAAGTAGGAAAAAATTAAATTTAGTAACATGATTTAATAAGCTGAAAAAAATTGGTGTAGAAACAATTTTCACTCAGAAATTGCTAGTAAATTTCACAAAAAATTACAGCAAGAAACATTAAAAGAAATGTGAATTTGAAGTATAAAGACTGAAATAGTCATTTATTTTAAAACATACTCTAGTAATCTTTTAATTTACAATGTCGAAAATATATTTTTTACAGGGTACAGGTGAAATGAGTTCCTTTTTTTTGTAGCAGTAATAGAACAAAGTAACACAGTCTGCATAAAGAGTACATACATGTCCTTCATGGCTGACCAATCTTTCATTGCCCATTACCCACAACCCCCTGCAGCAGCCTCTCGACAATTCATCAAAGGCTTCTAGTCCCAGATGACTGGTGGCGCAGCGGCAGCAGGCATCTCTCTCTTTCACTCACTCTCTCTCTCTCTCTCTCTCTCTCCATCTTGCACTCTTTATTTCTCTGCCTCAGCCTCCCTCTTCCGTTCACTCTTTTATAGATAGACATAGCAGGCATCCACCTCCTCTAGCTCAGCACTTGGATGCATTCAGTGAAATTAACCTGCATATGTGTCAACGCTGCTCGATTCCTACCCAACAGGCTCATTTCTATCAGCACTTCTTCTGCCAAATGCCATCATTGAAAATGATGGTATCATAAAGAAAAAGGAGGGAGAACTGGGTCTGCTAAAAGCAACAAATGTTACTTGCTAGAAACATTTATTAGCAACTACGCTAATAGTTATTTTAAAAAGAATCATCTTATTGTGGATATTTGGTGTAAGTGTAAGAGTGTTTGTTGATAAAACTTTTTGGATAGGCAGATATATACTGACAGATATATTGACTAATAATGATTACCGTCTATATATATATTGACTAACGATATATATATATATACACTACCGTCCAAAAGTATGGGGTCAGTAAGATTTATTTATTTACGAAAGAAAGAAAGAAATTAAATTAGTCAAAAGCACAAATGTTTTCTACATTGATAATAATAATAAATGTTTATTGAGCACCAAATCAGCATATTATAATGATTTCTGAAGGATCAGAGTAATGGAATAATGGCTGCTGAAAATTCAGCTTTGCCATCACAGGAATAATTTACATTTTGAAATATTAAAATTACATTAAAATGGAAAACAGTTAACAGTTAACTTTTTTTTTATTAAATGAATGCAGCCTTGGTGAGCATAAGAGACTAGTTAAAAAAAAATCTTGTCATCCTCAAACTTTTGAAAAACAGCAAATAAATATTGGCATTATATCAGCCAGGTGACTGTCTTTTTAGTTGAAATAATTATTAAATAAAAAATAAATAGGAATATTAAATAATAGTGTGCATACAGTCTACTTATTTAATTAAGGCCTTCTGAAGCGACGTGCTGTCTCTGGAAAGATCCTCATTGATATGAATATCCATATCAATATGTATATCCATTATAAAGCTTTATAATGGCAGTGAATGGGGGTTGAGATTTTGAAGCCCCAAAAACGTGCCCCAAAAGTTTGAGAGCACATTAAAATCTGATTCAGTTTAAGTCTGAAAATTTGTGAATCAATTTATGAACTCCTTTTGAACAAAAGGTCACAAGTCTAATCTGCTAATAGATCATTTAGCAAAACATATGCATTTTCACTGGAGGTCTCAGAGCTTTGGACTGCACTGTATATGTACTGATCAATCACAGTACGTCTCTGGTGCCAAAAACAATCTGCTTTCCATTGCATTAAACGGTAATCGTGAATACAATTATTTTGCTCAAAACGTTCCTTATACAAGGTTCTGTTTATTCTAGCAAAATAAAAGGTTAATGTAGGAGTCCATGAAATTTCCTGTTGGCAGTTTTTCATTTCTATGCTAATTCGGCTGAATGAGAGTTCGAGCTACAGTGGCAAGGCTAAACAGCCTCTGTAAAGACATGTCTGTGGGCAGCGAGCTTCAGCAGACCTTGAGGCAAAGAGTGAAAAGAACGAAACAGCTCACAAAAGAAACAAACGTAAAGGCTGAGCCGATCACCACCCCCTCCCCAACCTCTCACACTCTCTCTCCTTTCCTCTAGTCTCTCCTTCGCTTTGTTCATATACACACACACATACAAACACACGCCCCCACAGACACACACATCCTTCTTCACTCACATCTACCCGCTCCTCTCGTCTCCCCTTTTTACCATTTTTATCTCTCTATCTGTCATTTTGACAGTGCAAATATTCTGAATCCAGCATTGTCAAAGCTTTTCATTATCCAGAGTGATTAACTGTCAAAGCGAACACCACACCGCATATTTTGTTTTCTCACAATGCTACGGTTTGTAGATGTATCCGGCAATGATCAAAGAGATCAAGCGCTAATTTGTCAGTTCAATTAGTGAGTGAATATGTCAAGTTACACGGACGAAATTCAAAAAGTGTGTGATTTTTCTTACAGACGGCCGAGTATTGTTAGGTTTTTGTGTATATGTGTGCACATGCAGTATTATGGCACAAGTAGCTGGTGGTTTTAAGTGAATGGTTGCGACTCGCGAGCATATAAGGTGGGGGGTGGGAGGGTGGTTGGTTGGTTGGTTGCTATGCATCATTCCGACTCCCTTTCAGTCCCCCTTGAATGCTGGAGTTGAGTTTCCATGGAAACACTGACCCCTGGGAGTCGATGATTTTCAGGAGGAGCCTCTTTTTACCTAGTGATTCACAGCTCAGGAAGTACAAGAAAAAAAACACACAAGCATCTTTATATTTACCTTCTAATACATAATTTTCTGGGCTCATCAGTGCCGCAGTTTTCCTCTCTTGCAATTTTTTTTTAATAATATAATTTTAATCATTTTTTGTTTCCTATCTCATATTTGTTTTTATATTCTTCTTTGTTGTGTTTTGTATCTCAGATAAACCAGTGTCATTTTAGTATTATTTATAGACTATTATAGTATTTATGAATATTTGACATTTTTAATTTTAATTTAATTTTTAAGAATTTTCTTATGTAGTTTTGCCATTTTTATTAGTTTTGTTTTTTAATTTGTATTTTTTTTAGTAATTTTAGTACTCCAACATGTTTAATTAATTGCTAAGGCAAGGTTTATCTAAGATGTATATTTTATTTAAGATATATTTAAATTAGCGAAAATGTTTTTAATGTTTTTAGTTAACAATACCAACACTGAGATAAACTTTTTTTAATACATTTGTTGTATTTTAATGTGATATTTGACAGTCTGCTTAATGTGACACAATCTGAAAAAAAAAAAAATGTAATAGAAAATTCTAAAATTCTAGAAACAAAATTTCTCTAATTCTTTTATATTATTTTCATATTTTATGAGCTCAAAATGGTGACCAATTACAGCACCTAAAATACATAGTTGCTCTTACACATTCACATCACTTTTAACTTAAGATCATACTATGTAAACTGCCCACATAGAAACAAATTCAAATACTTTTAGCAAAGAAATCCCAGATAATTTTAATGAACACATTTAGTAACAGTGCTTTCAGCAACATTTTAACAAGATCAGTATGTTCTGTGTGAGGCTTTGGTAAAATAGTACCAGCATGAGTCACTGCTTGATCAGAGGAGCAAACCATTCTAAGTTAGGGAAGAAACCATGGTAACCACTGTTTACACTTTTTTTCCCTCTATCAATGAGGAAACTGTTTTTCGCAGACATTGTCTAAAACTTACTCGCTGAGAACACTACATTGCTGTTCTGTTAAATTACCAGATTAAACTCATCTGTTAGATGTAACTTGATTTGTGGTTTAATGATACAGAAAATTATGAAATGGCAACTTGAAACAAAGTAATTACTATAAAGTCTAAAAGCAAGGCTTTGGTTTTCAATACATATGGGTACAGTTGGCGCAAAAATAGTTGTTATGTTCAAAGAAAGACATTGATTGTGCTACCAATAATGGGCTCCCAGTGGATAAAAACCATACTTCTTACTTTTAAATCCCAAAACTGAGAAATGGTGCATGCTAAACTAGCACAAGTGTGCCGGTTTCACTAGAGTGACTCATTAACTGACACCAGCCTCTCTGCTTATCTTCTCTTCAGGCCAAGCTGATAGTGCCCAACAGCACGGCAGGGCTGATCATTGGCAAGGGCGGAGCCACGGTGAAGGCCGTCATGGAGCAGTCTGGTGCCTGGGTCCAGCTCTCACAGAAACCCGAAGGCATCAACCTGCAGGAACGCGTCGTCACTATCAGCGGGGAGCCCGAGCAGAACCGCAAGGCTGTGGAGATCATTGTGCAGAAGATCCAGGAGGACCCGCAGAGCAGCAGCTGTCTGAACATCAGTTACTCTAACATCTCTGGCCCTGTGGCCAACTCCAATCCCACCGGTTCCCCATACGCCAACTCTGCAGAGGTAATGCCGGCTGCTGCTGCAGCGGCGGCGGCCACGGCCTCCAGTCTCCTGGGGCAGGCCAGTCTGGCGGGAGTAGGCGCCTTCCCCACCACCATGTCCAGCTTCTCAGGGAACGACCTGCTGACTATCACATCCGCGCTGAACACGTTAGCCAGCTACGGATACAATACCAACTCCCTGGGCCTAGGGCTCAACCCTGCGGCTGCCTCAGGAGTCCTCGCTGCTGTGGCTGCAAGCGCTAACCCTGCCGCAGCCGCGGCCGCCAACCTGCTAGCCTCCTACGCCAATGACGCATCCACCAGCTCCGGCCACCACGCGACCAGCCTGGGAGGCTTCACGCTAGGCTCGCTCGCCGCCGCCACCGGAGCCACCAACGGCTACCTGAGCGCCGCTTCCCCGCTGATGGCGAGTTCACTACTGGCCACCGAGAAGCTGACCGAGGGGGCCAAAGATGTGGTGGAGATTGCAGTGCCGGAGAACTTGGTGGGCGCCATTTTGGGGAAGGGAGGCAAAACACTTGTGGAGTACCAAGAACTGACGGGAGCCCGCATCCAGATCTCCAAAAAGGGAGAGTTTGTTCCTGGCACCAGAAACCGTAAAGTTACCATTACCGGATCGCCAGCCGCCACACAGGCAGCCCAATATCTTATCAGCCAGCGAATCACATACGAGCAGGGTGTGAGAGCCACCAATCCGCAGAAGGTGGGCTAAAAACAGGGAGTATGAAAAAAGGAGAGAAAAGAGTGGGGGATGGGGAAGATACAGAGAAAGATGGAGGGCGTGAATATCAACGAAAATCAGCCACATTCTTTGTGGGAAAAATCTCAGTATTAAAAAAAAAGATGGAAATAATTCCTCTCAAAGTGGAAAATTTGAAAAAGAAAAATGTGTAAAATGTAAATATGGGTTTAATCCTTCAATTCTGGATTTTTTTTTTTTTTGTGTGCATTTTCTGGACAGCAGTGAATGGCATTTCAACCTGGCATGCTGCCTCGCTGCAGTTCCCAGCAGGTGGGCAAGGTGGTTGGATGGGGGACAATGGGGTGGAGCAATCCCAGGAATCAGCCCTTTCCCCACCCCCATCCCCTCCTAGCTGACAGATTTTTGTTCTTTAATCTTTTAGTCCTTAGTTTAACTCCCACACTTTCGCCCATGCCTTCTCTTTAAGAGGGCCTGAGACTGATTATTTATCCCCCCCAGTCTGTGACACCCCATATCCCACCCCAGCCCCCCTCACCCCAGCCCTCCTGATCCCAGGCGGCCCGACCCTGCCCCGCACCGGGCAGGATTGGGCAGGGGATGCGAGGCTGCTGCAGGGTCTCTCAGCGCCACTAGACATTGACCTGGGGTTCCAATTGGACCAGGTGCATGCCACTACTGATGTTGTTAGCATAAGGGAAGCTTGTAGATCATGTTGCGGACATAGGCCAGGACGCAAAACACACCAGAATCTTTCGTACCAGAGCTCCTAGATATTGTGGCATTTGTCTATGGGATTCGAGGTCTGGTGTTTATACAAATACTATTATCATTATTATTATTATTACAAATTATCATCTCCATCAACGTTATTTATTAATATGATTTCACCCATAAGGACTGAAGTATTTTCTTTTGTTTTTCTTAATCTGTGAATTCAGGTTGACATGAATGTAAAGACAATATTTTGGATTTAGTTTTTTATATAAGTACATTGAATCGTCTGTCCATGTAATATATGTCTTATTTAACGTCCAGTGATAACTGCACCGTCGGCACCAACAGAGAATAGGGGCAGATGTACTGTACAGTGATATTAATACAAAAAAACACACAAACACACACCCTCAGCAAACTATTACCAGACTTAAATGCTGAAAATGCAACTAAACACAGACTTGAAATCACAGTGGGACTAGACAATTTATTCACATATCTACTGAATGAGAATGTAGGTCTTTGCACAAGTCCAAGGGAGTGTATCAGAATACGACTTTATATAAAAGCCAATCCCTTTCTGTAACGTCCCAAAACATATCCCCGTCTTTACTCTACGCTACCCCTCTGCAGCGTGAGAGATTGTGCACTTTGAGCCGCTGCAGTCGAGTATCTGCACAAATCTGCTGGAAAATTTGCGTAGATATTCCATATCAAATCAGAAAATTGGCCCTCAGAGCTCTGAGGCGTTTCATGAACACATACTACTGAAAGACTAAGAACAAATTCTGATCTGCACAGGCTGCTTAGTAACATGGTCTTCTCTGGAAATCCCAGGTTGTGTGTTCTACTGTGGCTATACATCCTGAGTCACCAGTAAATCTAATTCTAGAACGGGCTACCCATGTGAAGATCTTTCTGTGCAGATCCGAACTACCCATGTGCGACGTATGTGCTGCTAATAAGGTCCTATTTCCTTTTTGTTTTGAATCGGAGTACACTGAATTTCGTCTTAATGCACTGTGAAGTGTGGAGGCCATGATGGAAGGCCAAAAAAAGTCAGGGTTTCTATATCGTTATTGCATCGAAGCATCACCATGATGGAATGTACTCATGTGGAACGTTTCATATTTATAACAACCTCCATGGAGTCAAGGTATCGCTTACTGTAGGGTGGAAAGGAGCCTGGATGGTTTGTTAGGTTGAGGTCAGACTCTTCGGACAAGTTTTTTTTTTGGCATCATGTTGCAGTATCCAACCTTAACTTTCCAAGTGTGCACTAATTAACCGCCAGCTGACCGTGTATATTTATCGTGAAGGGGCAGAGGATGGTATATTCTGTACGCTTAAACTTTAGGTGTCCTCCAAAACTATTCTGTGTCTAAACAACTGTTATTGATTCTTTACCGGCTGGAATGAGCTGAAAAATACCAAACTCATCGAAACCACAAGACTTTAGCACAGAGAGCATTTCCCAAAGAATAATTAGACCAACAGAAAAAGACAGAGTTTGTGCTCTCTCTCCCAATGACTAAAGTTATGATTCTTTCCTCTCCTTTGCTATTGGAGCACCAGGGAGAGTAAATCTGAACCAGTTGGTAAGGAGGCTTCTTTATTCTCATCTAAAAACCATCACCTCCCCTCACCTCTTCTCAACACCCTTTTTTACCTTCGTGCACCCCCATTCTGACACATCAACCCAGAGACCCCCTTTTCTCTCACATCTCTCCATGGGTGGCGATGTCTGGTGTAACAGTGCATGTCTGCTTGCCCTTTCACGAAACAATGATGGTGTGAAAGGGAAGATGCGCCTACAGAGTAGAACTAGAAGCTTGCAGTAGATCATGATTGCACACATCACACCTTCAAAAAGGGACTTACTATGAGCCATCCATGTGTTTGTATGGTGTGCATGTGTGTGTATATATATGCGTGTAAAGGTGATAGGTTTGGATAGATATGAATGTTTCTAGCAGTTGGGCCCAAGGTGAGGAGGTCTAACAAGCGACTGAAACAGCAATGACTCAAGGTACTCTACTATAAGATAGTTGCATGTTTTTGTTTTTTTTTTAGGTGCAATTTTCAAACAGTAGGGCATAATAGTTCAGATTTGAAGATCAAGACGAGGAAGTGATGGCAATCGAGCGCTTCCGCATTTTAGAGTGCATCTATGTGTTTGGTTTTACCCAAGATGCAGTACTTCACCAGACACTTCAGAGCTTGAACGAGTCTCAGTAGATCCCCCAGATAATTTTTTTTGTAAAAAAAAAACAAAAAAAAAAAACCTTGGTTACATCGCAGTTTGATCTAAGACACATAAAATACAAGATATTAACAAGATATTACTGTGAGAATTCAATGTGAAAACTATAAAAAGGTGCCAACATAGTGTCAAGGAGCAGCTTTCTGTTTTGTTGTTTTTGTATTCAGTACATATGGGAGTTTTTTTTTTTCGTTTAGTTTTTTTGTTAGTAACTGGGAAAATAGATCAAATGTGATGAGTACTGAAAGCAATATACGTAGTAGCATGTCGTCATGTCTTGTCCTTTTATTCTGTCTGTGTAGGAGCTTTGGATTTACCTAGATGTTGAGTAGATTTGCATATACTATTTTTTAAGTTGTGAAGATGCTGCTATTGAATAAGTGATGTACTAAAATTTAAGATTAAAAAAACATATCTGGTCAGTCATTTAGCAGGATGTTGTAGTCGTAAGTGGTGTAACTAAATGCTACACTGATAATGAAGTAATTGCTATATCAATGGATTAAATAAACCTGTGCCAAAATAGATCTTTACAGATTTAAATGTGATTTAAACACCATTAGTTAAGAGCAGACATACTTTTGTAATTTAAAAAACAAAAAAAATGTGAAAAGTGCCAAACAAGCCACAGTTAAGATATAACTAGCGGGGTGACTAGAGAAGCAAAAAATAGACATTAGCACTATACGGTTGAGAGTTTTCTACCCCTTAAACTAACTAGTCCTTGTAAAAAAAAAAAGGGTGGGATTCATCTCGTAGGCCAAACAAAAGCAGGGTGCCATGTGGCCATTAACTCATCCCTGGGGCTAAAAGACTGCCGAGTTAGCTTAGCATGGTTAAAGTTTTATAAGTTATCAGCATTCTTAAGTCAGCCTTTTATAGTTCTGAAAATGTATTTTGTGAAGATAGATGTTATCTGTTTTGCACGTTGATATTGCATGATACCAAGTGAAGCGTGGATTTAAAAAAAAAAGTGAAGACAAAAAATCGTACAAAAAAAAAAACAATTAGGTGAAGACAAAAAATCTTACAAAAAAAAAACAATTAGGCAATGTGCATTCATTATGAGGACAAAACTTTGCATGGCAACAAAAGTTCGAGCTATTAAATGAGCTTTTTCACATTTTCACCTTTTTATTTTTATTTTTGCTAAGACCAAGCTGGAGTTTTTGTTGTCCATGAAAACTAGGCCACAGAAACCAAAACCATTCATAGTCATGGTCACATTCAGCATCATAACTATAGCACTCATTTTGTATAGACTTATCAATGTTTTGTGATTATTTATGAGAAAAACAATGAGAAAAGTTGAGAATGGAGGGTTAATTTAGCAACATTAACATGGCCGTGAATGTATTCACCACTACATAAGTTTGCATATCACTCTTTCGATCATGATTTTAGGGCTTTTGTTTGCTGTCAGTACTAACATCATTAGGCTTCTGTTCTTTAGCTTGTTCTGCCATCACTGCACATTATTGGGGGCACTGTCACTCTCCTCACCCCCGAGTCTCCATTTGATTTTCTCAATGGAAAACATTACGCGCAAGCAAAGAAAATAAAAATCCATTTTAATGGCAGGTTTTTTTTGGTTCCTTTAGCATAAAAAATGCTAAAAAAAAAAAAAAAGCTGAGGAGTGTGTAAACATCAGCCGTGCAGCCATCTTCTGAACTTTGAACTTCTCACCCCTCATGAACTTTATTGACCTTCTTCCTCCCCTTCTATGTTCATCAACTGTTTGGACTTAAAATCTCCATTCCATCTCCAAACCTTTTTGAGACTGTGCAATTCTAGTTGAGATGATTGGATTCATTTTCCTTTTTTGAAGTCATCATTGGGGATGAAAAATAATAATAATAAAAGCGACACACAAAAGAAAAAAAAATCAGTAAGATCCAAACTGTTTCCTCCACAATTTCATTATTTTCTCTTATTGTAAATATCTGTCAGATTTGGTTGAACTGTAACCAGAAACGTGTTCAACGTAATGGGGCTGGCAGCATAAAATCGCTTTTGTGGAGTGCTCTTATGAGCCGCCGATAGGAAGTTGAATTAAACTAAACTAAAGCAGCTCCAAGAAAGAACAATTTGGTACTTGATCAACAATTGAACATGGTAATAGAGCCACATGCGCAGTACTGAGAGACCGTCAGGTGGTCAAAATCTGGATCCGGCCCCTCCAAA